CTTCAGTACAGGAACCACCATCTTGACAGAATTGCATATCTTATTGAATATGTGGTTTTTACTCAGAGTCTACTGGCCAGTAAGTCCCTCAGCTTCGACCCTGAACCCCTCAACCCCGAACTCAGCACCAAATCCCCAACCCCTTAAACTCCTAAACTCTAAACCCACCCCAACCCTCTCAGACCTCTGAACCCCAAAAGTTCCAGGCCCCCGGCAGATGCTTCGCCCCAGTGAGACCGTCGATCCTCACCTGGGTGGCTTTCAACATCTGGTGCTCTTAGGAGGTTAGAGGTTTGAGGGTTTTTCTCTTAACCCTAAACCCTAAACCCTGAACCCTAAACCCGAAACACTAAACCCTGAACCCTAAGCCCTGAACCCTGAAGCGTCAACCCCATGGATCCCAATAGAACCCCTATCCCGGAATATCCCCACGTGCTTTTGGGTGAAATATTTCTTTGAACCCGCCCACCTGGCAGCCCTCCACCAGGCTCGCCCGTGACTCGGGTTTTACCTCGCTCCTGGCTGGCCTGGGATACAGAATCAAGTTCAGGGTTTGGGGCTCGGGGTTTACGGTCAGGGTTTCGGGTTTAGGGGTTGTAGGGTGTACGGGTTGTAGGGTTTGGGGTTGGGGTTGGGGGCTTTATGGATTTGGAGCCTCAGTGGTCAATTCAAGAATAAATTGGGTCAGGCTCCCGCCCTCAGACCCAGTAATAATGATATGGGGCGCCTAGTGAGGGCAATTACCTCGTTGGTTCTTACCTTAGGGTTTAGCTTTGGCTGGCTCAAGGTGTCGGGATTCAAGCCCAAAGTGCAAGGATCCTGAGGCTTTTACCTAGACCTTCCAATGTAGTACCTTTTTGGTAGTCCTAATAAGAGTCCTAATTCAAAAGCCATAACAAACTCAAAAAGGAACTACATTGGAGGATCCAGGTAGGGATTTGGCTTCAGAGTTGATTCGCAGGAAGCATAAGCGATGGAAAAACACATGGAAACGAATATGTTTACAACTTCAGAGACTTATGTTACAGGACCCTAAGCCCCAAAGCGTGCTTGGAGTGAATCCTGAAGTTGGCTACCCAAACCTGAGCCACATGGGCTCCAGTTAAGGGTTTAAAGGGTCTCGGGAGCAAGAGAAACATGCCAACGCCGCTTTGAGATGGGCCTCTCTTAGGTTGCCTCTCAAGACACTGATCCATACGGAAAGGACCCCGCCAAAAGGGACCTCCTAGATTTTGGAGATCCTCAGCCCGAAAGCCTATGTATCCCTATGTACCCCCGCATATCTCTTTATCCCTATACATCCTCATACATCCCTTTACAACCCTATGTATTCCTATATAACACCTTCAAACCGTCAAAACTGGTGAAAAGAAGAGCCCAGCGGCGAGGGTACGGAGGCAGGAGCTGGAGCCTTCAAGGGTGGCATCTCATCCTCATCTTCCTCGGGACCGGCACCTGGCCACCCCAAGAGGAATCAATGAATGTCAAGGACCATATGCAAGCTGCAGCTTTTTTTTTGGGGGGGGGGCCTCTTAGCATTTAGGGTTTAGGTTTTGGGGTTGTTTAGGGTTGCGGGGGGCTAGGGGGAGCTTACATATGGGGCTCTGGGCGTTATAAGATCCAGGATTGTGTGCGGACCCCTAGTAGACTGCCTAGACTGCCAGCCGCATAATGCTACAGTCCCCCTTAAGTAGATGGAATATGGCTTTGGGTATATTATAATAAGATCCCCATATACCCCATATTCTATCTACTTAAGGGGGACTATACACTTACAAAGCAGGAAAGCCTTTTGTTAACATCGTCGTGAAGAATCGGCTTACCACCCTGATTTTTACTATGCTGCTTGCTTCTCTCGGTCAAAATCTCCAGGCTAAGCCGTATCAAAGCAGGTTTCCATCTCCCTGGTGGTTACCAGGACCTGGTAGAATGGAGTTGTTCGGATCATATTGGGGCGGGGGTGGCTACTGCAGGGACTCCTTCCTCCACTGCTTTCTTGTTTCTGATTTTGACAAGCGCCATCGTCGTCATACTGCTGCAACTGCTTTACTCGTGTTGCTGCTCTGCTTTGGGATCGCAATGCTTGTCATTAATGTCGCTGCTCATGGGATTCCTCCAGCGTTCCTGCAAGACTGAGAGAAACCCTGAACCGTAAACCCTGACCCTATACGCACAAAAAGCCCTATAAAAACCTAGGACCTAAGCCCCAGCCCTACCCTCCTCCACTTCGTAGCTCCAAACTGCCTCGACCCTGGCCACGATGATTCCACTTGAAGCCGCCCTGGATCTCATTGACAGACCTTCCAAATTTAGGCAAGGGTGGGAGTTTTGGGTGCAGGGCTTCAGGGTTTTGTGGTGGATTTCAGGGTTGGGATGACAGGAGCAATGAGTCTGGAAGTAAGGACGTGGAATGCGGGGTTGGAGCTCTTTCGGAGTTCAGGAATTTGGTCTGGGTTGCAGCTTTCTGGATGTAGGGCACTTTTCAAGAGTCATTGACATTCGGTAGGTAATCCGAGTATGGATCACCATGGCCCATCACTTCTTCCGTCCCCACAGTACTGCTGTCATGTGATTCGCTCTGGAAGAGCCTCTCCGAATCAACCCCCCCATACATAATAGTATGATTTCATTTTCCATTATTCATTTTTCAATTTGATTTTCCGTTATTGGGTCAAAGTATATTCATATCGGGGGTAATACGCCCAAGGGAGGCTTCGTGTGGCTTGTGAAGAAAAATGGCTGCTCTTTTCCATATCTCACGCCACGTGCCTTGGCTTCTGGTAGTGCACCCGAGGGCCGGGGTTGGCTGAAAAGCCACTGACTCCTAGGAAGGGCAGCAGCAAGAGTTACATTGGGGATTAAAGGTTTAGAGCTTGGGGATTAAGGGTTTAGAGCTTATAGGGATTAAGGATTTAGAGCTTAGGGATTAAGGGTTTAGGCTTCTGGTCCAGACTTTGCATCCACGAGCAATCTTTGAATTGGAGCATGCCAATTATGCGCATTACAACTGCTGGTAACTGCTACTGTGCGTGGGCAGTATTCACAACTGTTGGGCTTAGGAGTATGGGGCTTACAGTTTTGGGAGCATCGTCGCCAAGACTAGTCTCCTAACACCAAGAATGACCGAAATGATGATGGTCATGAGCCATTGTCATGAACATGATAGGAGGAGGAACTGGCACAATACGTGCATTCAAGAAGAATGTGCGCAATCTGAGTGTTGCCACTACTGATCATGGAAATCAATCATGGGCAAAGGATAATCGAGCATGCCATGAGTACGCCAAACCAGTTCAGACCACCCTAAACCCTAAACCCTAAACCCTAAGTACCCCAAATTCCAAGGGCTCAGGCCTCCACCGCTCATGTTTCCATGGGCGTAGGCAGCTTAAAGCTAGCAAGATGTTCGGTCGAATCGCCGCAGCAGTTGTTGTTGTTGTTGTTGTTGTTATCGTCGTTGCTGTGGTGGTGGTTGTTGTTGTTGTTGTTGTTGTTGTTGTGGCGTATTTCGGTGGAGTAAGCATTGCCAGCTCATACCAAAGTAGACTAACAGCTTTGCACTCCACAAGCCTCTGGATACATGTCGGGAGATTTCAACATGGCATGCCTCATTTGGAGCTCCGAAGAACAAGGACTATGTTAATTCAGGGGTATATGTGATGTGCAGGAATGGCTTTACTCTGGGTTCAGCTTGCAGTCTTTGGACAGCTTAGTAAACAGCATTCCTTCATGAAACATATATACATCTGTACCTTGCGCAGAAGGGCTTCCTGGCACATGTTGCTGATTGAGAGCAAAATGTGCTAGCGTAGTACAGTCATCCGCAGCACACCTCCTAATAGTGGTGCCGGTATTTAAACTGGAAAAATGGGCTTCCATTTTAAGCATCTGTAAGAGCTCACGCTCATGCCAGGTTAGGCCTTATTATTTCATCATGATGGGTAATGCATTGAGCAAGGCCACTGGCCTAATATGTCCAAGTATATCCGAATCAGCGCCTGAGGCAAAATCTGCGAAATGCAGCAGGGATAGCCAGCCTATTTGTGGGCTTCTTTGACCGCCACAGCCGCCCAGCATCTGAATCTTCGATTGTTGGCAGGAAGGCCTCGTGTATCCCAGGCAAGCATTAGTCGATCTTGCACCCATGAACCTGACGCTCTGAAAGGTACTAGTGACTTACTAGTGCACAATAAGCAGACCAAAAAGGAGCGGGACTTCCTTTCGTAGGCCCGAGATTTCTAAAGCCCGGCCCTACGTATTCGGGAGGTTGGCATGCATCTGGCTGCGCTTGCCTAAAGACCTCAACCCCAACTAACAAAAAGGCCAAAATATGCCCCCCGTGTAAACATTGTAAACTCGTGATCCTGATGCTGAGGATAGGGGCGCCAACTTCTGGCACGTATCCTAGCGGTGTCGCACAAAGAGGTCACGAGCTCCAGCTGAAGTACGTTCCAAGTACTGCGGTTTAGAGTTTTTTCGAGCCTTGATTCATTGAAGCAATGCCCAATCCCTATACCAGGAGTTCCCGCCGAGTCAAGCCGGAGTAGCTACGTCCTTCCCTCCAAGATTAAACAGCCTTCGACTCACCCCAATATCAAACAAGGTCATCAATGTATGTGACCTGCTGTAGGTACTCTTTAACAGAAGGCGGTGTGGGCGGGAAATGCTTTTCTCGCACTGGCTAACCAACGGGGGGAAGCCCAAGCTCACAAACTGACCTGAGGCTGCCTTTTCATCTTGCGCAACAAGCGAACCATCTCCGCAACACCCCATAAAGAACCAAAGGTATCTAGTTTCTCAAAACATGACCCTTTTGGAAGGAATGTCGGCGATGGCTCAAATCGTCTTATCTTCCGGAGAACCAGGCCAAGTCCTACAGACGTCTGGTCGTTTCCGAGATGAAGAAGCCCAGAAGGTTAAAACATTAGAGTTTCCTTCTTTAAACCACCAAAATCTTACAAGTTTGGTCGGTAGTTCTTCTGTGCTGGCCACATCTTCTTCTAATCTTCGGAAACTACCACCTCATACTCCAGAGTCAAGACAAGAGGTCGGGTGTTCTGTGAGAGCAGCCGCCCCGACTCAAGAGAGAATGGCTGTTGAAAAAGGGCATCTGCCCAAACCATGCCTGGAGGCAGAGTTTGGAATTTGATGCAGGGCCATTTTGATTAGAATAGAGTCCGGGATATATCAATGGGAGAATGTCGGTATCCATTTAGGCTTCTACCGTATGGCCATTTCCAGACGTGACTTCCAGTTTTGAATTTCTTGACTGATCTGCACATGTAGTTATGCTTGCGGTTTAGGGTTCAAGGTACGCAGACGATTAAAGGGCCTGCTGTATGACATGTTCAATTGAAAGCATGGAGGCTTGCTAGTTTCCAGCTGAACAGCCTCTCGTGTTTGGAGGGGATTGCCTTTGATCCTCCTGATTCTTGCAACAGCCCCGAGCCCTTTCTCCTGCACGCTGAAGCTTTGGAAAATTGGAGGCTACATGCAGACTGCCAGCCCCCGACCCCTACCTTGCTCTCATGAAGCCAGTGCTGATGCATAATGACCATCTGTTTTGCCATGCACATCGTGATTCCTGCAACAATCCTTCTACTCCCCTTCCATACGAATCTGCATCCAGCCCATAAGATTGCTCAAGTGATCCAGATGATCCCTGTTTCCAAAGCATTCCTTGGACTGCGGGTGAGGTGCCTGGAGGGGCTTCTGGAGGAGCCACTGGATACACCACCGCTTGCTCCTCTGAGAAACTTACTGGCGTTCAGTAGGAAGGAAGATTGGATCCCTGGCATTCCCCATCGATACTATCTACTCCCTACCCATTTCTGCATTCCAACTAGCCACCAGTAAGGAAGTTAGAGAAAGAAGCTATTGGCAGACGACCCCGCAACATTGAAGCCTCAAGTCCGAAACTTTAAGCCCCGAACCCTCAGGTCCGAAACTTCTACCTAAATCCTGACACCTCATTGAAACCCGCATCCCACCCGAAGAACAACTCAATAAGCCATCGCAACCATTGAAACCCAGACATGGCGGCTCGCTCCTTGGGCAAATTGTTGGTAAACACCCAGACCGAATGGCCCTCTCCAGAAAGACGCTGGAAGACGAAGTGGTTCTCATCTCCATAGTGAACCTGGCTTGCGATTCTTTGGTAGGCCCCATGAAAGAATCGTGCAACTTGTGACGAGCCCCCTTTACCGCAACAGTCCCAACTGAGCCGCTGTATTAAACCCTGATATACCCGATGCTGGCGCTTTAAGGAAACTATCGGTGTATCGGGGTGAGTTTGGCCTCGAGATCTTGCAAAAGATGTATAGAACCTCCCTTCTCGAGGAAACGATGCGTGAACTGAGGGTTCATTGCCTTCATGTTCGCATCACGAGGATGTAGGGTTTCAGTCTCAGTGGCTTCCACGAGAGAAATGCGCTCAACCCCAGGAACCTGGAGTCTGCTGCCTTTCTGGGGATCTGTAGGCCTTTGGGGGTCCCGTGTGCGAGACCTGGCACAAGCCAAGAAGAACAATTGCCTATATGGTCGGCTACTGTTGTCTAAACCCTAAACCCTATCAATCCATGACAAATCTTATATACATTACCCGCAGCCTTGAGCTTAAACCTCAGGGTTTCTCACCAGCCCAACTGACTTCGGACTCAAGAATCTAAAGCCTCACTCCCCAAATCCTAAACCTTAACCCCGTGCCCTGCCTTGGCGCTTGCTGTTTCCAAACGCTGGTCCCTACGGATGCCATTCATGCGACGCAGGAGCTGGTACCTCGGGAACCGCTTCCCTCTACCTAAACCCCCAAAATATGTAAAATAATAGCCCTAAACCCATAATAACAGCCCTAAAGGCCATTATTTTACATCCTTTTGGGGGTTTAGGTAATGTCCCCCCTCCACCCACTTCCAATATAAAATGATCCGTGAGGGACCTGTATCATTATCGGTGATCTGTTGAATATTATGCGGGTGGGAGGTTTGCCTACTGCTCCGGGAACGCTTATCAAACCGTCTTGGGGCTTAGGGTTCAGACTTTCAGGGATTTAGAGTTTGGGGATTAAAGGTTTCTGACGTTGTTAGATGTTCGTGGTTCCCCGCAATGGAACCACGTCTTCGCGTCTGCATATACAACTGATGACGACGGAAGTTTTCTGAGTGATCTGCAACTTTGGGAGGCACAGGCCTCTTGTTGTTTGCTGAAAAGGTTTGGGGTTTAGGGTTTGTTTAGGAAACCCCCATGCGATTCTCTAGCAAGAAGACCCATGTAATCCATTGGGCCATCGAATTTTGCGCGACGTCCCAAATGCTGCCACGTTACGGCCAGGCTGATCGATTCCAGCCAAACTGCCACAGGGAGTTCCGGTATTCAGAGTTACCCTGCTCATCGCCCCAGGGCACCACCTTTCACACTGCACATTTAAAGGAAAATGCCAGCTTTCGCGTTGGGAGGGTAAGATCTGAATGACTACCATATGCTTCTTCTTGCGCACTCTTTCTCCCAAAGCGCTTTCTATTGGGAATTCAGTTCTTGTAGGGGATATGGCTGGGGTCTGAATGTACTTTAGGACTGGAGAGTATGTGACTGCCACAGTGTGCTTTCACCCCACTGCAGACGGCCTATAATCCCCTCCCCCCTAATATCAACCCCCCCGACCCCCACCTAACATATCCTAACATTAAACACTCCGAATTATGATATACCACATACTGGGAATATTTAATACAACGGGGGTGGGGGGGGGGGGGTTTAGTATTAGGAGGAGGGGACTACTTCTGATTCAGCTGACTCGCAATTGCAACATAACAAAACTGGTAGCAGGTCTTTTCTAGAAAGCTGAATACGAGGACTTACATTGGCTGTTCCTCAAATGGAGGTCCCCTCACATGATATCTGCCAAGGGCCTCAATCTCCAACCATGAAGACCCACTTCCCCTCAAAGGGGAGGCTTTTAAACCTGAGAAGCATGCAGTCAACAACGATAACAAGAAGCCCCTAAACCCCAAACCCTGAATCCTAAATTCAGATAATGTGGTAGTTGCCAGTGTCTTTTCCATTATTACTGCATCCCCTGTATGAGCCATAGTCTAAACTCCCAGTATTCACCTTAATAACGCCGTACTCCCCTATATTATCCCCTGTATATCCCCAGAAAAGGACTTTTTTGACTATAGGTTATATTCAATACACCCTTATCCCTATAGACTACCTTATAATCCCAGATTCCATATCATGTTCTATTGTCTTGTCCATTCGAGTTTCCATTACTAGGGGATACAGCAGGGCGTAGCCCGAAACAATCAACCGCTAATGGCTTCAGAATGTAGAATTCAGGATTTGGTTTAGGGTTTGGGGCTTAGGGTTCAGGGTCTTCGAACGGTTTAATTACCATTCTACAGGCTTTAGGATTCAGGATTTCGGGTTCTGAGCCGTTGAGCTAAAAGATCCCCTCTTAGGGCAGCTTTTTCAGAGGATCAGACTGAGCCGCCCTCAACCCGCTGACGACCTCGTCGCACGCAGGGTCCTCCCCCTTTAGCTGCAAAGTAATATGGCCCCTTTTTTGAGTGTCCCTTGGGGACACCCAGGAAGAACACCCAACGTGAGAAACAACTAAATCCGAGCCACTGCCATGCCTTTGGTGAACATAAGCCAAGCCCAAGCATTGAGAACCTGGCTTGGGGTTTGATGTTTGAGTCTGAAGTTTAAAGTTGCTTTTGTGTTGTTGGGCCTTAAACCCGGAACCTTGGAGAAGGACGAGGATCAAAAGATGTTTGCGGGCTTTCGCGTGGTGTTTGACCTCAAGGAATGTTTAAGGGATCAAGAGCGAAACCCTGTAGGGTTCGTTCCGACATTACTGGAACCCTTGTCATAGCAACGAGCCCCCAAACGGGACGCCAAATTCTGGAAACCTCCCCCATAACTGGGCTGAGAGCTTAAACCGCTATCAATCAGGATTGGGAATAATGGCTGTTTTGATTCAATCCAACAGATGCAAAATGCTCCTAAACCCTAAACCCCAAAGCCTAATTAAATCCTAAACCCTCTTCATACCAGCCTTTAAGGGGGCCACAAAGGCGCTTATCACATCGCCTTGCTGGCTGGTTCCAGAGAATAAGAAGCCAAAAACAAACACCATTGAATAACAACAAGGGATCTGAGGACTAGCATCCGTAAAGGGCCTGCGAAGATCACAAGCTAATTGCTCGACTTACGAGGGTACACATGATTTCCTCACAGCGAACTTACTAAGGCTGATGCGCTACAACCAAAGCGCTTTACACTTAACCGTCAAAATTTCGACGAACAAATCGCTCTGGGGGCAGGAATGCTCAGCCAAAGAACCAGGGAGGCATGTTCTTTACAACCTCCAGTGCCAGGGGAGAAGGGCCCATCGGAGCTTCTGTACATGCCGAAGATGGGGCCATCATCTTGACTGCCGACCTCGTCAGTTGGGGTGGGTTTACGGCCTGCAATTCAGCGTATCTAGGCTTTGGGAGGCTTAGTCTGGATAGTCTAATGCATGTGCAGGGGACCGATTTGACCCGGTCCCCTGAAGTGCATCTTCAGATTCACCACCGATCCCACATGGAGCGTATTATTATCCCCCACGCTTTCCGCTCGAGCCATCGCAGACCTTTATTTCAGCGTTCACCATACCCAACCGATCACAAGTTAAAGCTTCTTCAACACGCCGTTTCACAGTCCTTTCATGAAATTCAAGTACATGTCAGCAGCAGACATTCCTCTAAGAGGCAGCTTTTTCAGGGGGGTGTGAATCCAGGCGGAATCCATCTACAGTAGTTAGAACCGAGCATATGCTGAATAGAAAGCCTTGGTCACCAAGCACTGCTGGTGCAAAGCCTACATCTAAAACCCTAAACCCAATACCTTCTGCTTTCTCCCATTTCAAACACGAGCTGCCATGTTCATGAGCAAGTCTGTGTTGCTGTAGGCCGGAGACTGCCACTGACGCTGGCTTTCCACAGCTAAATGAGTCAGGTTGAAGCCGCTAACTGGCGAAAGCGCATGGTTGGGCCATCCACAGTAACCTCTGAGGACAGGGTGCACTTCAGGACTTTGCAATGTAGGCTTTGGATTTAGGGTTTAGGGTACTAAGAATTTTGCATGGCAAAGAGACTCTTGACTGCGGGGCCTCTGCTTGTGGGAGGTGATCTGATTCTGGCCGTTTGTGCTCTAGATTGCAACCCATAAAGGGTATGAGTTAGGAGGAGAGGCCCCCCTGCAATAGTGGTATAATGGGAATACAGGAGGACCCTAATCTACTCACTCACTCTCATCCCTTCTACCCTCTCTTGCAGGAGGGGGTTATGAGGTTTCCTGGTGGAATCTCTTACCTTCCCGTTGACTGCTTGAAAGGTACCGCCCTGCTTACGGCCTCCAATTCAAATGAGCCATAATCTAAATTCCTAGTATCCCCTTAATAACCCCTGTAGCAGTTCCCTATATCATTTCCTATATAATCCACTTTTAAAAGTTTAGATCCAGTATGGCTCAAATAGCAAAACTTCCTTCGAAGTGCCCGCATGGTGGCCGGGTGCTGCAGCATAGACCAAAGGAAAGTTCTGCAAACCGCTTAGGATTCGCTGTCCGTCCTTCTTCTGGAATGACGCGTGGAAGCTCATGTTCCCAGTGGTAACTTCACCTGGAGGAAGAAGATAGTCATCCAGCTTTGCATTGTGAACTTTCTGGCGCAGCACTTGGGAAGTACACCACAGAGTTGGTAACAGTGCCGGGAAGGTTACAGCGAAGAGAGTGGTATGAAACCCAAAGAATCGAATTCCCAAACCCTGAACATAGCTTGTAAGGGACCCGCACCTAAATCCTTCAACTCCTGAACCCTATTCCCTCAATATTCCACACCCAACAACCCCGGAATCCATTGTCTGATGCTGGTAAAGCAAGGACCCCTGACTTTTGGAATCTGTGCCTATCATCTGGATGGGTTTCTCCCGGACAAACACTTGATCCTGCCGCGGGACTTGAGCTTTTACAAACTAACGGGCGAAGGCTACCAAAGAAGTCGTAGGACATCGGAGGACCAATAATCATAGACAAGAACTTATAAGCATCCAAATGAATACCGAAACCTTCGCGCTCCACCTGCAGCCTAGCCTACGCCAGCATCCCTGTCAGAACCCAAATCCCCGCGATCTCGCCGGACCTCACCACAGGCTTGTTGTGGGATCCTGCCAGAGAAAATTATACAAGGTCGCTGAATGGCAAAGTGTGAACCATACACACTACAAACAGTGCGCAGCCCCTATACCCCAAACGCTCTATTCTGAAGAGTGTAGTCCCTCTACCCCAGTATATTCCCTGTACCTAAGCCAGCCACCCCAAATTGGACAGTCCTGAACCTCCTTTAGGAAGTCATGATCCATAAAAGCTGCAGTGTCCAGGCGCAAGGCGTCCACGGGGAACTCAGTCACCTCATTAATTGAACAAGTGCAGATGGGTCGGATTATATAGGATTTAGGGATATTATCCCAACAATGGAGCATCAACGTGAAAAATGAAATGGAAACTACTATAATGAGGGGATAAATATTGTATAAGGATTGTTGTGTTTTTTTGGCTGTTTGGTGCCATGCGGGTCTGCGCTACAAGGTTGAGGGTCGCGTCTTCAGCGTCTTGAAGGCTTGGGGATTGAGGGTGTGAACTTCCGAGTAAGGCTGCAACTCACGACTTGCAGCACTAAAAACCCTGCGACAGGCCTACATGCTCGAACGAAAAACCTACTCAGAACTCAGCAAAAGGCTTCCTGTAATAAATGCTTGTAGAAGAATGACTGTTCGTGGGATACGAACGACAAAGAGTTCCGTATGCATTCTGGTCTTGCTTCTCTTATGACACCTGTCAAGCTGTAGCCCTGGTTGAACCCACAGACTGTGGGAGATTCGCAGCTTTGTTGCGAGCTCATAACCTGTAAGAGGACTGTATGCAGTCCGGCGGCCATGTATTCCGCCCAACGTAACAGGCTCCTGCGCACGAAGGGAACAGACTGGTTGAGATCCGCAAGGTCGTAGAACCACCCCTCTCGGTTGACAGTCCTCAGTGGAGCAGTTGAAGAACATCCCGGAAACTAAGATGACTGCCCATCATGGGATTGGAGAACTCCAAGTTCAAGCTAGGCAAGCGTGTTAGGAACGCTTTACTGCCCCAACCCTCAACGGATTCCCCAAGCACAATAGACTGTCAAGGTGTTCTCTGGCATTCCCCGACAAAGGGGCGCCAAGGAGGACCCAACACCTTCCAAGCCGAACAAGAGAGGTCCCTTGGAGCCCTGGATAGGGTTTAGGGTTTAGCATCAGACTTCTGTGGAGGCCTGTAGTCCCCCTTCAGTAATCAGATAGAATGTGGGGTACATTGGGATAATTTCATATTCTATCTACTTAAGGGGGACTATATATGCATATATACCTTCATTGTAGGTGTCTCTGTCAACACCTGATGCCTTCTCACCGTACACCCCTTCGCGCACAAGCAACCTTTCTTCGCACAACCACAGCACTGTCCGCACGGGAGCTTCTATAACCCAGCCCAGGCAAGAATGCGGGTGCAGTTCAAAACGTGGAGCGGCTTACAGGGGTGACTGTTGGGGATGGAAAAGGCTTGTTTTGAGAATCCCATGCAATGAAGCCCAAGGGTCTGATTGTAGCCCGGACAGATGTAGTCCCCAGGGCCACAGTACTTTAAGCTGGGTGGTCCTGCGGCCCTAGTCCCGTAGTAGGCCTCCGGGACGTAGACGTTGCTGGGATAATTGTTGCAGAATGTACCTGAGACAAGCTCAAATTCTGAACTCCTCTGACTGCTGTGAGAAAAACGCCTCATGCACGAGTAGGCTTCGCCACACCCAAACGAGCGCCTACTTGCTACGGATGTAGAGAACCCTTCCCACCGCCCCTACTCAGATCCCATTCCATACGCCCTACTTGGAGGTCCAGGTTCCGTGTGGCTATCCAGGTTATGTTTGGGTCACAAATACAATATAAACCCATAAACGCTAAACCAAAAGCTACCTTGGTTAATGACCGTGGCTTTCCAAGGATCCCCAGAATCTTTCAAGCCAGGGCACCGTTGTTGCTGCCATCCTAAGTTGCTTCTAAGGGCGTACATTAGGGACCCATACTGCTAACCTTTGAAAGTAAGTAGCCCTTTTCCTTATAGGCGCTGCATTATCCCAATGATGTCGGCTACTCTGGCCCAAAAGTAGCCGGCGTACTTTCCCTAATTGTATGAACTGCGATTTTCTGTCCATTCCCTATGGAGCCTTAAACCCTAAACCCTTAAACCCTAAAATTAAGCTACTCAGAGAAGCCCAGCATCTGGCGTTCCATTTGCAAAGAAGTGCAGGTAACAGGCAGCTCCCGGACCCAAAGCCTGGGTGGGGTACCTGACTTGGGGATTTGGGCTTGAGGGGAGGGTTTAGGGGTGTGGGGGCTCGAGGATTTAGGGGTTCAGGGTATGGGGGTTTTAGTTTTAAAGGCTTAGCGGCTGCAGGGTATTGGATGCCCAAGGTGGGGTTCGGGGTTTAGGATTTGATGCGCTTAGTCTGCCAAGCCCTATGGGGGTTGCTCAAAGTTTTGGGGTCCGTTTACCAAAGCCGCATACCTGTAGGATACTGTAGTAGAATCTACTCCTCCACAGGGCCACATAGAATCAATCTTCGGTAGTTAGGCCTTAAAAAGCACAGGAAGCCCTTGAACTCTTGGAAAGAACAGCCCTGGCAAACCTTTCAGGAGCCTCCTACAGCGGCGCATAGGCTTCAGTCCCCCTGCTGTAGACACAGAATAATCATGAACATGATGATATGCGTACCATCTCGGTTCTTTAAAAAAGCTTTGGGCGTTTGAGTGGCCTAGGCGAAGCTTAAACCCTAATGTAGACCCCTGATTAATAAACCCCTTCCGTTTAAGGGCCGGATCCCTATTAATATCCCTATTGAGGGGAGGGGGTTTATTGATCACGGGTCTGGGTTACACCTTACTAGGTGAAACTCCTGAGGTGTTAGAGGTCTTGGACCATGTGTCCGCATGTACTCTGATTTCCGCTAGGCCTGGCAAACCCTAATGGTACGCTCAAACAGCAACTGTGCTGGGATTGGGGCTTCAGGTTCTAGATTTCTGGATGAGAGAGTACATTACGAAACACTAGTGTGATCAACTAATGTGCAAGAAACTATAGGATATTGCGCCTCATGACTTGGGCTTTTCCCAAGATATGCTTAAGGATGTTGGATTCAAGGACTTCATGAGCAGCTGAGGGGCAGGAGCCAAACTTCTAAGGACATTGCAGTTCTGCCACCCCCACCGCCCCACAAGAGTACCACTCCTATTGGGAACCATCTAGGCCCCTATCTACTGACATAGATTTCGGTTTATGACTATCCCTACGTCTAGGTAGTGTCTGCAGCCGAGGCACGGCCATCTTGCATCCTTCGCTGCGTATTCGTCAAAGGTCATGTTGGAGATGTTCAGAAGGTGCAGGTGATGAGTTTCGTTGAAAGGTCTTACGCGTCGCAGGTCTGACAAAGAGTGCACAGGGCGGACGTGGTTCAGGACGATATCCAGAATGAAGCACATGCCATGGCGGTGTGTTTCATGGATGAGCTCCTGTAAGTCCTCCCTGCTCCCGAAGTTGGAATCTATTTCGTAGAAGTCCTCAGCCCAATAGCCATGGTAGCCGTAACCACTCTCTTCAGAAGCTGGGCCATAGAAGTTCTTGACCACCGGGGTGACCCAAATGCAGTCGAAACCCATCCCCCGGACGTAGTCCAGTTGGCTGGTGATACCTTCGAGGGTAATCGATACTAACTTCTAGCTCAACATTCGCAGCAACGCTCGCGCAGACAATGTAAAACCAATAGTCACCATGACGCTGACACGAATGCTGCACATAATGATGCTGATGATGATGATGATGATGCAAACAGGTTACAGCAGGAGTAAGAGCACATATGAAATAACCATGACTTAAAATCGCAAGCAGTAGCGGGCACGACAAACCTCTGTGAGCGATGTCCCCCAACAGATGTAGGTTCTTATGCGGGGTATGTAGTATTGGGAGGGGGGAAGGGAAGAAGGGGGGCTTCCATAAAGTAATGCGGTGTTGCAAAATCGACCCCAATGTGCTGTAATCAAACCCTAGCCTAAACCCTAAACCCCCAACCTCCAAACCCCAAGCCCCTAAACCCTAAAGCGCTTATTACAGGGGCCCGTGCCTCTCAGGGTACCATTGCACCATCGCATGCCGCTACAGCCAGCCGCCTGCTCCTGCCCTGGACTTCTGGCGAAGCGGTCTGTCATGATGAGGTAAACCGACTTCCCCTCCTTGGGTTCTAACTACTATAATGGGGGTTTTAGGGTTTAGGGTTTAGGGGGTTTTAGGGTTGAGGGGTTTAGTATATTGGGGAATATAGGGATACTGGCAAAGAGAATCGAAACTACTATAGTGTATTGGGGTTAAGGTATACCGACTTCCCCTCCTTTGTTTTATTGGGATAATGGGAAAGAAAACGGAAGCTACAATACTATATTATAGGATAATATAGGGACTATGTTGGAGTTCTATAGGGAATACCGACCTCCCCTCCTTGGCTTGATCAGCCATATAGGGGTTGTTTAGAGGATATATTGGGAGAATGGAAAAGAAAATGGAAACTACTATTTAGGGATTGGGCTTTGAGGGTCTAGGGCGTAAGGTTTAACATTAGCAGGGCTTGAGGAGGACCAGTGCTGAGAACTCAGAGGCTTACAGGCAAAGCAAAGACTCGTCAGGCAAGATATCCTAAAACTCTGAACTGAAATGTCAGATGTGGGTTATTCTCAAAATTATGGACCCGTTTTGGGTACCCATAATGGGCCCCAATTTTGGGAACTACCCCCCTAAACCCTGAACCCTAAACCCTAAATTGAACCCCAATTTTGGGAACCACCCATTCTAAACCTGGTAAGAGACCAGATCAGATAGCCTCGCGGGTCCCATGGGCCGGAGTCTCTGAGAAGGCAATACCTGCACCTGGGGTTTAGGGTTTAAGGATTGGGTTTAGGATTCAGGGTTCAGGCTTGGGGGAGATGCAAGATCAGGATTTCGTTTCGTTCGGGGGAGGTTTTGTGCATGAATTTTGGGGGTTGGACTCAAAGTTTTCAAGGTTTCTCTACTTTAAATTGCTGTTACTGACCCCAGGGATGCAGTTATAGGGATGACCCAGGAATTTCTTCTAGCGGGTCCCATTGAGGGATGTATGGTGGGTAGCATGAAGTTTGGATTACTTGTTTTGGGTAGCTGTAGACCCTGGAAATATATAGGGATAATGGAAGAGAAAATGGAAACTACTAGGTTATATAGGGATAATGAAAAAGAACATGGAAGCTACTATAGTATATATTGGGTTATATAGGAGCTGTAGACCCTAACGAGCCTCTCTGAATGAATCTATCTCCTGGTCAGGTAGCTCTTGGGCTTCAATGTAGGGTTTAGGGTTTAGGGTGTACAACAATGAGTAAGGCACCACATCTCAAATCCAGAAACTGTTCATAGTTCCTGCAGTTGGCAAGTGTCCATACAGGATGTACAGAACGTCCACCTTGCTCCTGATTTCAAGTTGATATTAATAAATGCTTCGGGCCGCAACTCATGTAGCTATAGCCCCACATCCCGCAGCGGATTAAGGTTTAGTTAAACCCCTAAGTTCGGGTTGAGCTACACCTTAAATTCGGGCTTAAGGTTTTGTGAAGCCCTAAAGTTCGGGTCTAGCTAAACTAAACCTTATAAAGTAAGGTTTAATGAAACCCTGATTGATGTTAAGCGGTTACCCACTCTGTGGGAACACAGCAATTGGTGTTCGGCTGATGTCTTCGTGAAAGGCCTCTCACCCTTTGCAGAGCTTGCGGCGCATAATCCTTACGACGCCTGGTTTCAAAGCGAGCTGTGCTGCTTAGGCCCTCCCCATTCCCCCTACATTAACCCTTCGTAATTACCCAAAGGGTGAATCGGCTCCGGTCTTAGGGGGTTTCCGATGGGTTTCCTATGGGTTTCTTATGGGTTTCCTGAGGGTTTCCTGAAGGTTTCCTAAAGGTTTCCTGAAGGTTTGTTGGGGGTTTCCTTAGGGTTTCCTAACAGTTTCCGAGGGTGTCCTGAAGGTTTCCTGATGATTTCCTGAGGATTTCCTGAGGGTTGCCGAAGGTTGGTCATAGCCTGGCA